AGCGAATTTTGGGAATGATGAGGGCGACAAATGTATAGGTGTGCTCTACACAATTGATCTATGTATTGTGATGAATTGTATGAGCCCCAATAAATTGATTTTTTTTTTTTTTAAGTGAGAGAGAAGGGCCACAACTGTAAAATCCCCTTCAGATTCCTCACAGGTCAGACCTACACCCGGGTCTGAGTGGCTACCAAGGAGGAAGGGGAACGTTGAAAGGGACTTAAACTCTTGTGCCTCACAAGCTACTTTCCACACACCCCCAACGCATTTTGGGGGGGAGATGGAATTACAAAGATGGTGGAGTCTTACCACTAATCCTTTGGTACCCCAACACATATAGAAAAATGGGGGTCCTGAGGAGCCCTGGGGGTGTTGTGGTTATGTGTTGGGCTGCAATCCGCATGGTCGGTAGTTCAAAACCACCAGCAGCTCCGTGGGAGAAAGACTGGGCTTTCTACTCCCGTTAACAGTTAGAGTCTCGAAAACCCACTGGGGGTCGCTATGAAGCAGCATTGACTCCATGGCCGTGAGTTGGGGTCAGCCCAGGTGGGCTTGAACCCTTACTCTGGTTGTTCTTGGAATGGGACCATGGGCAAGTTACTGGACCTCTCTCCGAGCCTCAGTTTCTCCATCTCTAAAGTGGGGATGGCAATAGCCCCTACCTCGCAGAACATCTATGAGGATAAATATATTCCTATGCTAACAATGGTACCTAGCATACAGTTATCAGGGAGCAATTGTTTGATCATAGTTTTAGCCTGTTGGCAGAGCATGAACCCACATGAGTGCTGGGTTTACATTTTCCAGGACCGCTTTCCTGGGTGAGTGAGATTGTGGCTGAGGCAGATTTGGGGGGGCGGGGGGCAGCGCTTCCCTAGTCAGTGTGCCCCAGTGGGGACTGGACTCTGCTGCCCTGGGCCCCTCTATTTATTTCCCCTCCAGAGTGTGTGGTCTCCTCCGTTGCCCTAAAGGACTTCGGTCTCTTCTTCCCCTGCTGCACTTTGCCCTTCTTGTCCTGACCCTCATGGCCTCCCCGGGTGGCTAACCTCTTGGGTGGTAGTTTCAGGACAGCAGCAGGCCCCCTTCCCAGAGGGGACGCTCAGCACTCAGGCGGAGCCGAGGGGACAGGAGAGCAGAAGCTACTCCGCGTGCTCAGAGTGGCTTCATTGGGAGGACACAGCCCTTCCTCGTTCCAGCTCATCCAGGGCTCAATCAATAAATGGAATTGGTGACACCACCCCCAAATGTGGAGCGTTGTGAGGCCGTGGAAAGTGGGGGGGGGTCGAGGGTAGGGATGGTGTATGATGTGTGTGACTGGATAGGGAAGCTGATGCCTCCTTTGGAGAACAGGACCCGGGAATTTTCAGGAAAAGTCCAGAAAAGGCATCCACTGGTGTTACGCAAGTGCTATGTAAGTCAGCCTGCTCAGGGAAGCCATTGGGATGAGGACCCTCCCTGTGTGCTGCTGCCCAGCCACTTGTGCGAGAATGACAGACCGGCGCAAGTCATCTTACCTATTCCCTGCTAAAGTCTCTTGGGGATGGTCCCAGATTCTGTAGCCCAAGCGGGCAGGGGACCAGATCTTTGAAGCCTGGAGCCAGTGGGAGATGAGGGGAGCCAAGGAAGGGTGCTGGTGAGAGAGCTGGTCTGGTCCCCTGCCTGGAGAGGGTAACTGTCATGGCCATTTCTTTGGGGAGAGAGTGATTCCCAAGCCCTGCCCCAAAAGGAGCTTAAAAATCTTTTGTGCCCCCAGTGGGCATGAGAAGTTCAAACTGGGAGGAGAACTTGGCAGCAGAGGCCGAAGACTTTGTGCCAAGCCTGGGACAGCTGGCAGCAGGTGGGAGCTGCTCCACCAGCAGAGAGAGGGGAGCTGGGCCGCCTGATGTCCCTACTTGTGTCCTCCTGCCCCTGCCTCCCTTCTAAACCCCTTCACATGTGTGCACACCGCAAGTATCCCCGAGTGGCCGCTTTGATAGACCTGAATCCTGGACCTTGGCCTTGAGTTCCAAGTAGCGAAGGGAAGATGACACTGAAAGCCTGCCCAGTAGAAGGGAGAAGGGTAGCTCGGGGCGCCTGTCTGAGCCCAGAGAGGAAGAAGTAGTCTTGCAGTGACAGCTAGACTGAGGGGTGGGGATTGCTCAGCCTTAGAGGAAAGCCATGCTGGGGAGCAAGCAGACAATGCCTTTGCTGGAGTGCTAGTAGCGAAGCGGAGCTGTGAAATGGAGTTCCACTTCTCACCCAGAGGGCAATTCAAAGTGGGAGAGTTGCCACCCATTTTTCAAGTTAGGAGGGGCTAGCACAGTCAGGAGGAGGGCTCTTGGGTGGAACCTTCTCTGGGAGCCATACCTGGATGGGGGCGGAGCTGAAGCAGCGGGGGGG